CACTGCTGACTCACCTGTACATCATCACACCTGCACTGCTGACTCACCTGTCCGTCACTCCTACCTGCTGACTCAGGAGCGCCCCCTCACCTGTAGATCATGCCGGTGCGGTCCGCCACGCTGTCCGCCAGAGAGACGCTGCACTCCCGCAGGAAGAGCTCCAGCCGCCGGCGCTCCATCAGCCTCCGCGCCGCCTCCAGGATCTGCGAGGCCAGCGTGCCGTTCTCAGCCCTGCCCCTGCCGCCAGCGCCGCCGCCGCGCCCGCGCCCGCCTGGCCCCGCCCGCAGCCCCAGGGCCGTGCCCACTGCCTTGGCCCGCTTGCCGCTGGAGATCCCGTACAGCTCCTCCACCGTCAGCCTGCCCCCCTTCCCGGCCCCGGCCACCCCCACCGAGCCCCGGGACGAGCCGGCAAACATGGCTCCCCCTGTGGGCTCTCAGCAGCGGCTCTGCATTCGAGGGCAGATCTGCTCTGCTGAAGGGCCGCCTTCTGATCTCAACGTCTCCGACAGCAGGAGGTGAAGTCCCTAAGACACACGAGCATGCGGGGGCAGCACTCTGGGGGCGAGGGGAGAAGGGCAGGAAAAGCTGCTCTAAACACGCCCGGTGTTTTCAAACACGGGCAGCCGGGCCACAGGGTAATTAACAAGAGACGATCCCCTGGACTGGCCAAAGAGCCCCGATCTGCACTTGCTGTCGTCTTACAAGATCACACTTATCGGGTCTCCCCAAATTCCCGATTTGACCCAGCTGGTGCAGCAGTGTCTCCCTGCACCCCTGATCCGCGTGCAGGGGGGCTGCTGTGTCACTGCCGCTGGGTCCCTCCTGTATGTGCAAGGAGCTCTGAGATTCTTCGGGGTGGAAGGCGCTATATAAAAACAAGGAATCGGAACAGTTCGGACCATCTGGTGCCAATACAGAAGCTCACCTCCCAGAGTTCCATCAAGGTAGCTTCTAAAATCAGGAATTGGACAGCCGGCTCTCGTATTTCCATCCGGAAGTTTTTAAACGCAGGTTAATTTGTATCAAATTCCCATCGCCGCTCTCTGCTCCTCTGTTTCACAAGTGAAGCCAATGATCCGGTTCTGGCTCGTTGGCTCAACGGGTTCAGCTGTTCTGCGGCGCTGGTCCGAGAGGGTTCTGGCACCACGTCTGGTTCTGGTTCAGAAACAGCCAAAAAATCAAATTCTCGCTCCTTTCAGGAGAGCAAAAAACATCTTTCAAGACATCTTGAAATGGGATACAGAGACCACACCTCTTTCAGGACTGATACTAATACAGTAAATCAATTACATTAAAATCAACTTCTAAATCAGTGAGCATTAGAGAGGAACAAGAGCAGTGCTGTTTGGGGATGAAAGATTTCCAGCAATGCGAGAGAGAAATGAAGAAAGTTATTTTCTTTCCCCAGAGGTCCCATCGAGGGTCAGTCCATTTTCCTAGGAAAGAGCCTGGGACCTCACGTTTCTCTCTCTCACCTTCACTGCCTTCCAGTCCTCTTCCTCCTCTAAAAAAGACAAAATGGTGCACTGTGTCCAGTGTCAGTCCAGGATGTCCACTACCGTTCTCGGGGAGAGATCGGGAGGTGCAGGCTAGATCCTATCTCTCCTCTCTCTCTTTACACAGCTGACAGAGTGGGATTTGTACTTGATGCCCTTCAGAGTGGGCAAAAACACACACATCCCCAGTAATTCCCCCAGCATTCCCCAGACCAGATTAGTGACGGGCTTTAAAAAACACATACAGCTCCTTATCTGGGTAATATAGCTCAGAGCGCTGCCTCCCATAGACAGATCTAAATGTGCAGAAGTACAGAAAGGAGCTTACAGTGTAAAGTATATATACAACAGGTGTAGGGTGTACACAGTATATATACTGCAGGTGTGCAGTGTGTACAGTTTAGATACACCAAGGGTACAGTGTATACAATGTATATAGTGCAGGTATACACTGTATACAGTTTTGATACACCAGAAGTACAGCATATACAGTGTACTTTACATACTGCAGGTGTACACTGTATAGTTTCGATACACCAGAAGTACAGCGTATACAGTACATATATAACAGGCGTATAGGGTGTGCAATGCATATACAGAGGGTATAAATTGTGTAGTGTGTATATTATAAATTGTACATATGCTGGGAGTCCAGTGTGTACAGTGTAGATACACCAGGTCTACAGTTTGGACAGTGTGTTCAGTGTTTATATATACACTGTATACACCAGGTGTACAGTAAATATGTAGCAGGTATACATTTTGTACCGTATACAGTATATACAGCAGGGGTACTGTATATAGACACAGTTTTTTATATTCACTGTTCACTGTGCTGTTGTCAGCCAGCCCACAGTCAGAGCTGAGGCGCAAAGCCTCTTATCTGTTTTCCCAGCAGCCCGTTAACTGAGAAGCAGGAGCTGACAGTGAACATCTGTCTGCTGCTGCGAGTGGGGTCTGAGTACAGTCTCACAAAGCCAACACACACACACACACAAATACACATAGGTGTTGCTGTGAGTGGGGTCTGAGTACAGTCTCACAAGGCCAGCACACGCACACACACTCTCACAGAGCCCACACGCACAAATACACATAGCTGCTGCTGTGAGTGGGGTCTGGGTACAATCTCACAAAGCCAGCACACAATCAGTGCCTAACTCCTGTTCAGCGCACATGCTGATACAGTTCACCAGTCAGCCCATCTACAGTGAACAATGTCCAGCAAAAGGAATTGTGAAGGCTATACAAATTATGACCAAGCTTTCACAAAGCTAAGCCAAGTTTGAGCAAATTAATTGCACGTGTCCCATAATTCATAGTGGCCTGTCTATTAATTCATTTCTTCCACTCCCTTCTTTCATTATCTCGCTCTGTTGCTCTCTATAGGTTTGAAAGTAGGGATCTATTTTGCCTCCAGATTGGCACGAACAGCCAGCCATCTTGGTGCCGGCACGTAACGTGTTCTAAAGCTCCTGCCAGCTGCCGTTAACGAGCTGTCCTAATCGCCGGCTTTCACTGACACCACGGCGTCAGTGTGACAGCTGGCAGTGGAGCTGTGCCCAGATAGAGGGCGGGCGAGCCGGCCCCCGGCCCCTCACCCCCACCTCGCGCCCGAGCGGCGTGTTAGGAACAACGGGGCGCCCAGTTGTTGGGGTGCGGGGGTGTGGGGGTGTGGGGGTGCAGGGCAAAGCTCCCGAGCCGCCCTCCTGGAGTGCCTCTCCCCTGGGACCTGCGTGATGTCTCACAGCCCGTGACAAGCCAGAGGGTGCGTGTGGGGAGCAGGACTGCAGAAGGCCCCTGAGCTAGAAGATGCGAACACAGGGGAGGCGTGTGCTGTTCCAGATCAGGGGGCTTTCTGCAGTCCTGTGAACGCTCATGTGGGGGGTGGACACACACTGGTAACTTCTAGAACACTTGTAGGACCAGTGGGAAAGGAGGAGGGTAGCTTCTAGAACACTTGTAGGACCAGTGGGAGAGGAGG